ATATTGTTAACTGTAGCAAACGTACTGTGCAGTAGCGTACAGTCTTCTTATCCTACTGTGATTTTGTATGCACTGACCACTCGCTCTTCCATCTTATCCTCCTCCTTTCCTTCCCAGATGCTGATAAGCACTATTCCATTTAATAGAATTACCTTTTAAAAAGTTACTTCAGTTAAAGGAAAACTTAAACATTTTATTTATTATTTTTATTTTATGTGTATGCATGTATTGCCTGCATGTAGGTAAGTGCACCAGTATCGTGCAATGCCCGCAGAGGACAGAAGAGGCTGCCATGTGGGTGCTGGGATTCGAACCTGGGTCTTCTGCAAGAACAATCAGTGTTCTTAACCACCAAGCAACCTCTTCAGCCCTGTTTTTAAAGGAAAACTTTTGAGGTGAAGGTTCGTTGTAATACAGCTTGATGCCCTACTACTGATCAATGAGATGCTTGGCTGAGCCTTAGGAATTATTTTCCTACTACTTGCTAGTAACTAGATTTGACTAGAAGCCTGAAGGTTAAAAATATAGCAAATAGCAATTTTGAGAGGATTATTGACAGCAAATTCTTCTCTCAGTTTTATTGAGAGCACCCAGAACACTCTGATTCATTCACTCATTCAATCAATATTTATTGAACATCTGTTATGTTCTATACACTGTTGTGAATATTAGGGGTTCAGCAGCAGAATGAAAGGCTCACGTGGCAGTCTTTGTGGAGGGCGTATTCTAGAGGGAGAAAATATATGGTAACAGAAGATGGCGTGTGGAGAAAGGAAGCAGGACTATGAGTTATGCAGTGGTGGAGGCCAGGCCAACAGCGGTTTAGTCTGTAAGGGTCTCTTGGATGCAAGTACTCGAACAAAGCCTACATGCTGAGGATTTTACAGGTGAAAATGACAGATATTTCACTGCTAAGAGATAAGACTCTTTATACACAATGTACTATATGTATTTACTAGTTCATATTTCCCCCCTGACCTATGTTATATAAGAGTTTGGGATAAGGAAAATGGGATTTTCAAGTCTTTCTGATGAGTTATTCATTATGCTTTTCATTACGATGTTTTAAACTTAGGTGCAAATGCAGAACACAAGCATAAACGGTTATGCTAAAAGAGGTTATTTATGTATAGAAGCAAAACTTAGACTCTGAAGTCATATTTGGTTTAAAAGACAGAACGTAGGACCACAGATACACTTATCTGTGTGGGCTTAGGCAAGCAGCTTAACCTTTTATGAGTCTCAGTTTTCATTTCAAGAGAGGAAGAATCACTAAATCTCGCACATTTTAGAGTTTATTCGGAGAAACCCTGGTGCACAGTAGGCACTCACTTGCAGCTAGAACTTCTGCCCAGCTCTGAGCATTATTCACAGCCTCAGTCAATGAAGGCACCCCAGTCGGTTTCCTTCCTGTTTATTTGCTTTATCAGCTTCCTGGCAATTTTTCATTTGCACAGATAAACAACAGTGGATGGTATGTGACTTCTGCCGGCTAGCATTTCATGGGACTCACCTCATCAGTGCATGACTAGCCACAGAGCTTCGAATCTAACCCCGCTTTGAGATAACTGGGAGAGGAAACCAAATGGGGGGAACAAATGCAGCATTGTAAGAGAAGCAGAAGTCAGCGCGAGGTTGCTTGATGTTTTTAAATGAACATCATCTTTAATCTCCTGTGCCCTGCTCCACAGATAGTAAGAGCCTTGCACCCAAAGTGCTCAGATAAACTAATGGGGAACAGGATACTACAGCAGACATTTCAAAGAACTTATGTAATTTACTGCATGTCTGGCTTGTTTCACTTCCCAAAGTCTTCCTGTTGCTCTAGGAAATGTCCCTACTGGACACCTAGGGGCCTCCATGGCCAGGGAGGCCTGGAGAGCAGTGAGGGCAGAAAACCTGGAGCAGCAGGGGTCCGGGCAGCATGAGCACAGCTTTGCTTCCTGTGTCCCATCAGAGGCATAAACCAGTACCCTTAATACTTGTTTGAGAATTATCCCAAGCACAGGCAACCATGAGGCTGCCAGTGCATTTGGATATACATAATTCCCAACATATTTCTAAAGGCAATTTACATGAGTGAACCACTAAAAGCCTCCTACTTAATTAACTGTACCCCCAGGGAAAAGCTATGTAGGCCTGGATAAGCGTGGGAACAACATAAAGGTGTTCCCTGTGCCAAAAAGGGGATTGGGCTTGATGGAAAATCCCCAAAAAGGACCATCTGGCAGCATAAATTATCCATTTAAAGTGGCTGGTGTGAGCTAATGACACCAAAGTCGCCATGAACATGTGCAACATCCCTCAGTTATGTCTTTATGTCCCCTCAGGCCCCGTTTCAATTATGACTTTCTATGCTGAATTCGGCCTAATGTAAACTTATCCACTGCCCTCTGAAGCCCCCACAAACATATACCATGAAAATGCACTTTTCCTTATTGAAGGGAGGACAATGGACAGAGTATGACTGTAGGGGATTTCTTTAAGAAGAGGAAAAGGGATAAGAAGGGAAAACTATCTGCTTACAGAGGATTTAGCCGTTAAATTTAGTTATCTGATGATGGCAAAGGATGTAGATACTCAGATGTTAAAATTTATGATTTGAATCTAAATGTGAAGGTATGAGTAGAAATCACCTTGAATGAAAGAGTCATTAGGCCAAAGAATTTTGTTCAAGCAGCCCTCACTGCCTCCAGGGAGAATGAAGTGGAGGCGTCTGTGAGGGTCAAGCAGGGCTGGGCGTATCAACATCATCAGCCAGCTTCAATCTGCATAAAACATGTGGGCACGTCACTCAAGAAGAAATGCAGCAAGCCTATGTATTCTATTCTAATTTTCACTGAAACGTGAATTAGTTAGGACTAGTATTTTTTATTTTATGTGTATGAGTGTATTGCCTGCATGTGTGCCATGCACCTGTGCCATGCAATGCCTGTGGAGGTCAGAAGCGGGCGCTGTATCCCCTGGAAGTGGAATTAGGGCAGTTGTTAGCTGCCATGATGTGGGAGCTGGGAGTTGAACCTGGGTCCTCTGCAAGAGCAATCAGTGCTCTTAACTTGCTGAACCATCTCACCACCCCAGTGTCTCTTAATTTTTTTTTTTTTTTTTTTTGAGACAGGATCTCCCTGTAGCCCCAGCTGTCCTGGAACTCACTATGTAGACCAGGCTGGCCTTGAACCCACAGAGATCTATCTGCCTGCCTCTGCCTCCCAAGTGCTGCGATTAAAGGCGTGAGCCACCACGCCCGGCCATCTTTTAATTTTTTAATAGCACGTAAACTCTGCATCAGCTCCACACAGAGGTCACACTGAAGGTGTGATAACCAGGACCCAAATCAGCACTTGTATTCTCACCTGTGCTCAGCTTTATCTCTTGGGTACTTTAGGCAAGCTGATGCAAGTGTGGGGCAAATGTGAGGTGCAGGCGTTATGGAAGAACCACACCAGGAGTGCGAGGTGGTGGCAATCACTCCGTGCTCCCCACATCACTGTGAGATGGTCTGCTTCTGCATTTGTCCATCTCATCCCCCTGATTTAAACTGCTTGAATGTAGGAGCCACTGCCTCTCCATCTACCCTTGAATTCCCAGAACCTTCATCATATCTCATCCAGAAAGTTCCACTGAACACTGCCGAATGGGTGAATGAATGAGCTATGTAAGGTGCTGGGTCAAAGGAAAGCACACAGGAAGCTTTGCATTTTTATAAAGGGAGGGAGACAAAAGACCCAGCCAATAGGGCCTGAGGGTTTATTATTATTTGTTTTTAATTATGATGGGGCACAATAAAGTAGGGAGGAAGTAAACACTTCTGTGAATGCTAGACGTAGTGCAGACTATTGTAACTATACAGTCAAGACCTGGAATAGTTCCATCACCCCTAAATGCCCCTTTTGCTACACCTTATACTTAGAGTTTGTACATCGAAAAACTGTTAGGGAGGAGAGGGATAAGATGTGAAGACAAAGGGTTAGTTCCAAGATTTTCTTGGTGCTTGTATGTTCTTGCAGGTAAGCACTTTGAAAAGGGACTAGGGAGGGATAACCAAAGAATTCGTTCACCCAGTGTTTCATTCTCACCCTCTACTGGCATAATTCTTAACCTTACTTAATCTTCAAAAGCACTGAAATAGCTATTAATATTATCAGATTGTAAAATAGGGACCCAGGTCCTGGAAAGTTAGGTAATTTGACTACCCACACAGTCCGGTGCTTGAAGCCATGACAGCACTTCAGCTGATTCTTAAACCATCTCTCTATCCCATTTCTCTGTCCCCACCTGACTTGTCATATTGAGGAAGGCAGTGGAGATGAGTCCCCCTGAGTCACATGAAAGTTAGGCATCACGGTTTCCAAAAGCCACAGCTGTGAGAATCGCTCTTGCTACTCTTCAGACTCCACAGCCGTGGCCGACAACTTGGGATGACAGACCAACACCATGTGCTCAGGTTAGTGCTGATGGGACAAAGGTGGCTGTTGTGTTTAGAGAATCATGATGACAGCCAGTGATGAGAAAATTCACAAAATGTTCTCAAGTTCTAAAAATCCAAGTGAAGCGGTAGCATGGGAACTCACTCTGCCTTTCACTGCTGTCAATTCAGTTGGAAACACTGATGAATTTTTGTTATGAATACTAAAATATAATTTAAATAACAAAACCCAAAAGTATATAAGTGAAAAAGCAAAAGAGCACTGCAGGCCCAGCCATGAAAGAGGCTAAGGCAGGAGGAACACTTGAGCCTAGAAGCTGAGGCCCATCTGAGAATAGAGTGAGAATTCAGCTCAATAAAGTAAGCAAAAAACCAAAAGCAACTGAATGTGGGCACACAGTGCAGGCTACATCTGTGAGTGGAGACGACGCTGTTCGCACTGTTTCAGTGGAATCTGCTGTGCTCTGACACTCTTTTGTGAATGTGGCAATCAACTGCAGTGCAAGCACATGTGTACGTTGCGTTCTTCACTCTGACCTGTGGGATGGGTCCCCAGTGCATCTCCCCTGCTCACCTGGCTCCACTTCGTGCCATCCGCTGGACTGACTGCCACTCCCTGGGGAGCGCCCTTGGCCTGTGTAAAATGGTTCTTCACCAGGACTGTCCATTTCATCCTCCACAGACTTGAGGCGCTTTGTGGAGCTGAAAGAACAAAGGAGTGCATGTTTAAAAGCATCCCAAGCTACCTTTCTCTCAGATACTGCATCTCTAGTGGAAAGAGAGCCCACAGCGAAGCCACTGGGCAGATGCAAGAGTTCCAGGCCACCAGGCAGCCTCTTGTACAGTTGGGTAAGTCACTGGACATGGTATACAATTTTGGCTTGTGTTGTTTCAAGCGTCTGGATTTGCTACCCTCTCCTGTGCCTTTTTATTTTATGGATATGTAGCTGGCTCCTGCTCTGGCCTCCACCTGGAAGTGCTGGCAGCATGCCCAGGTTTCCTATCTCCACGGATGGTGGCTCAGGGCTGGCCATCAGCAGTGCACTACATAGCTATTCAAATTCCTGCTGAAGCCCCAGAAAGGATAAAAATAAGTAAATAGAAACCAGGGCTCATGATCCTTCCAGGAAAACTTTTATTGCTTTTTTTCCTTCACATTTCCCATCTTCCACTTGGATCTGTTAATTTAAAAAATACTAAATACACATGCAAGCAGTCCAGGTACTCTCTAGACACTAGAGATAAAACACTGAACAAAATGGCTAAAAATAGGAGGAAGGAATGCACTGCCCCACGATAAGGAGGGATAGATGCACAGAGTGGCCTAGGGATTTCTATGCCCTTCCTCTACAGGTTGATTACCAAAGTGATGTTTCATTCTATCAGGGTAAAAAGGAAGACTTTTGTTTTACGGAGAGGTGTGACTCAGAAACTTCAATAATATATCTCTTTTCCTCCAGCCGAAGGACTGAATTCCTCCTCCCAGTGTGCAACTTGAGGGGGGAAGGCAGGAAACACTGCCGGCTGCTATTTCTGTTCCAGCTGAGTGGACTGAGGGCGCCAACAACACGTTACAGAATGGGCACTTCTCATGCCTGTGGTTGTGACTGCTGGGAAACCTCTGCTCATGGGTCAGGATGCAGAATTTTCCATGGGTTTCATTCATCAAACACTCAGTGCATAGCTCCTCTGTGCCAGGTGCAGCCCTAAGTGTGGAAAACTGTGTGGGTCAGACATAGCTCTCCATGAACAGAGATGGAGAGGTCAAAGAAAAGCAGATGGATCACTAAGGAACCATGCACGGGCTATGGTAGAGCACACGATGGGGAAGGAAACATTGGTACTTACTTCTGGAGGCTGAGAAAGATTTAAAGACAGCTCAGGAGCTCCCTGCTCTAAGTGTTAAGGAGACAGAGACAGAAAAAGGAAACGGCTGGGGGAGGCTGTTACTCTACTAATGCACCACTCAGGCAGCTATTTTGGTTTAAATTTTTTTTTAAATCCTTCAGTATTATTTGGCACACTGCCACTGTCTCGAGCTCCATAAGCTTTGGCTAACCTTGGCATTCCTCCCTTGACACTCTTAATGTTCTAAAACCCAAAAGGTTAATGTCTGTCCCTGGGGTTACTGTAGAACCTAGCCCACACAGAGTGCCAGGACAGCGTCCACTCACTGCTGAGCTCACGGTGCACAGGTTTGCAGACACTGAGCATCATCTCAAGAGCGGCTGCTTGCCAGAGGCAGTGGCAAGAGCCAGGTACAATACACGCAGAGAACTATGTCTGGGATGGAGAAGTTGAAGGAGGAGGAGGGTGGAGGGCAGAGAAGATACTGTGTCTGGACTTCATCTGCTATGCAATGAAGACTCCTGAAGCCCTCTTCATAGGTGTGACATGGGAGTTATGGAAAAGTGACTAGTGAGTGCAAACCATGGGGTAAGGAAAACAACTGGTAAAGAAGGAGGTGCAACCCAGATGAGGGGTGCAGATGAGGTGACTGCAACCATTTGAATTTATCTTATTTATTTTTTGTCTTTTTGAGACAGGGTCTCCCTGTAGCCACAGCTGGCCTAGAACTTGCTATGTAGACCATGCTGGCCTCAGTCTCACAGAGATCTGTCTGCCTCTGCCTCCTGAGTGCTGGAATTAAAGGTATACACCACCACACTTGGCCCAGTCCGCAACCATCTGAATTTTAAGATATACAGGGTGCAATTTAGGCTAAAAATTTAAATTATGTATGTTGCTGACCCAGTGTTCTTAAGTTTTAAGTTCTAATCTTATTAAACTAGATGAGAGAAAAGCAACCTAACTGTACCATGCTAACTTAGACCTAAGGAAAGGTCTTTAAATTACTTAGTTAATGACCTTTGATTTTCCTTGATCTTCCATGAAAAATGCCACTTGAAGAACTTTTCTGTTTTATGTAAAATGTGTCTAATGGAAGCTCTTTAATACAGATCATACATACAGACTACTTAATTTCAACATATAAAAGGAAAATCTGGTGTCTCTGAATGAATTTACTGTCTCCTTCAGTAGACAATACAAGTTATCTAATCCATTGGTTCTCCTTGCCTAGCAACCAGGAAGCTCACTGCCAAATTTAAGGCATGTCTCTAAATTAAGGTTCCTTCACTGACCTAATGATCTCTCCCATCTTTCATGTGGTCTGGCTTCATTTTCCACATTTAGCAATACCTGTTGTGAGTTAACGTTGTCAGGTTCTTGAAATCATCTTGTAAGTCAGAAGACTATAAATTGGAAAAAAAAAAAATCCCAAGATGCGGTCCAGTCAATCCTAAACCCAGACCTCCATGCTCTGGTCTAAACTGTAAGAGTCTTAGGGGAGTAACTATGTTTTTTGGGTGTGTGTGTGTACTACTTTGATTTTTCATGATTCTTATATTACTACATCTAGACTTCTGCGTCTAGGGTTATGTTGTTGATTAAACTTTTTTAAAGCAGCTATATTCTTTCAGCTGAAGTCTTAGTGATATTCAAAGGGTAGCATTCAGGTGCTGGCTCAGCAGTAGAGCTCTCTGCTGATGTGCTCTGGGTACACAGGGTACAACTCCTGTATTGTTCCAAGAGTAGAATAATTTCTTCCTGGGAGATCTCTGCATTTTTCTCTTGTTTACTAACAATTCTACCCCAGACAGCTTTCCTTTTCTTACACATCTATCAGGATGTCAGCATATATATGGTCTTGGGTTTAGGTGGCAGAACTTGGTCTTGGTAACCAGAAACATGCGTGACTCACAGGCAGTGGATATTACCAAAGTCCCCCTCACCATGGATGACAACTCAAGAATGCCTGCCTCTATTCTTTTTTTTTCTTTACTATTTTTATTTTATGTGTATGAGTATGAGTTTATCGGTCACATGTATGTTAAGTGTACCCATGTTGTGCAATAGCAGCGGAGGTCAGAAGGGGGCATCAGATCCCCTGGAACTGGAGTTACAGACAGTTGTTAGCCGTCATGTGGGTGCTGGGAATCGAACCTGGGTCCTCTGCCAGAGCAGTCAGTACCCTTAACCACTAAGATATCTCTCCTGCCCCATTGCTGCCTCTTTTCATTAGTGTCATTTTTTTTTTTTATATCTTTAGTGCTTACTAACAGTGTTAGACTAATACAGACACTCAAAAGCTGCTGTATGAGCTCTGTTACAAGGCTCCATCCAAGCACCTTAGTCAAAGGAGATCCACCCTCGAAGGCCAATTCCACTGCACGTTACTCTCCTATTGTCAGTATTTTTCTGGGTTTTAAAGGTTTGATTTCCTTGGTATTCTCTAATAACATGCAGGCATGAATCACACATGTGGGAGACTCAGTGGTTACAGCTGACACTTGAGCTTGCAGGTGAGGACTTTCAGAATGGACACAGGCTAAACATCTGCAAGACCAAAGAGTGGGTGGAGGGAGAACAGAATCCTGTGTGGAGAGTGAGCAGTGCTGGGAAGGATGGGCACAGGCTTCCAAGACAGTTTGCTTACTCCATAAACTGAGCATCAGGTTATCTTGATGAAGTTCTTTAAAACAAAACATCTATTTTATTCTTATTATTACACTACATTTTTATGATTTGGGAGAGGTTTACCCTGGAACAAAATAAAACATTTGGAAAATAACTATTAATCTCCTTTATGTTTACTTATTTCTTAACTTTTAGAAATGAAATTGTCCTTGATTGTTTCTTGCTCCTGACCATCTAACAAAGGGACTCTACTGTTTTATTTCTTACTAAGTGTGAGACCTACAGGCTTTATTTTGTACCCACAAGACCATAACAAACCCCCTTTCTGAGTGTTCACATACACTACTATGAATATTTTCCTTCTTTGTCAGTGTGTAAAGCTCCTCTGATTGGATTGGTCTTTGTGCTCACAGTGTTGAGGAAAAGAGGCTGGTGCTTAATGTTTTTGCTGAGTTGGGCAAATTAGACATTGTCCTTCAAGGGACATGGAGCCTAGAAAGGGAGGCAAGACAAGTTCGTATCACTAATACAGTAATAGTATACAGCTAATGAGCGCTACAGGCCAAAGCAAGGTGGAGATTCCAGATGCTTCTTTGTTAAGATCCCACATTCATTGTTCCTGACAAGTGTCAAGCACATTCTTAAGACAATTCAATGTGAAATGATGATGGTTTGTGAATTTCAGAAGACTTGAGTTTGAACGGGGACTGTATCTTTACTAGGACCATAGCTGTGAACAAGTTACTTAACTTCTCTGAGCTCTGGATGGTTCTATTATTATGATGGGAAAATCATCCATGCTCTGAGATGATTGTGAATATTAAGCCAGACAGGATGTATAAAGTCACAAACCAATTAATATTGGCATAGCATGAACAAATAGTGATCGATTGATATACCTTTCTATATGTAAATCTGGGCTATTCTTCAAGTCTTATTATCTAACCTATAACAGGTATTTCTGTTGATTTTATATATTCAAGGACTATGGCTTTTTTTTTTTTTTAATACCTTAGCAGGACCAGTGAAATGGCTCACCAGTTAAAGTGCTTGCCTTGCAAGCCTGATAACCCAGGTTCCATCCTTGAAACCCATGTAAAGGTGGCAGGAGAGGACTGACTCCTAAAATTGTCCTCTGACCTCTACATGAGTACTCTGCTGGCATTTGCTCTCTCTTTCTAATAAATCAATCAATCAGTCAGTCAATCAATCAATCAATCAATCAATCATCAATCAATCACCTTAGGAAGAGGCCAATGAAAGAAAAACATGTACAGTAGTTGAGCTATTAACTACTGTTGTTTATAATTATCTCATCGGGGTTAGTTATTTACAGAATTGGAGAATGACACTAGCCTCTTAACTGACACTAATAATCACGTTTCCATCCACAGGGGTGTATACATAAAATAATAAAATAAGCTGGAGTGTTTGGAAGGACAGGGGCGAGGAATGCTGTTAGAGAGGTACACGGGACATGTGTGGCACAAATACAAAGAAAGCCACCCATGAACTTTTAAATTAAGAACTTGCCCACAAGTATTTGCAAAGCATTTCTTGTTGACTAAATGCATTTATACATAGTTTCTCTTCAATCAGCAAACATTCAAGATCCTCCAAGTGTATTGACATCCAAATGTATTCACAATCTCTTTTTAATAATAGAAAAAAACTATTATAAATGAACTTTGGGTTTGAGACTTTTTGGTTTTTCTAGAGGAGCTTATACTACAATGACGGGGTATGGGGCATTAAAAAACATCGAAGAAGTAGGAGATAGAGGTTCTGTTCAGTGAGCAGTGGTTTCTCTAACTGCCTTCACAGTAATAGAAATGACTACTTGATTCTTCTTAAAATAAATGTTTTTAAAAAAGCACTATTCAGGGGGCTGGAGAGATGGCTCAGCAGTTAAGAGCACTGACTGTTCTTGCAGAAGACCCGGGTTCAAATCCCAGCACCCACATGGCAGCTAACAACTGTCCATAACTCCAGTTCCAGGAGATCCAACAGCCTCTTCTGTCTTCCGCGGGCATTGCACGACATGGGTGCACTTATCTACATGCAGGCAAAACACACATATGCATAAAATAAAATAATAAATAAAATATTAAAAAAAAACCCACCACCACCATTCAGAAAAGGAGCCCCATCAGGGAAAATGTCTGTTCTCTGGGTGTCATTTTAAATCATAAAATCATACTTGCTTTAGCAGAAATATACCTCTGACAAATGTTTTTCTGCAAAGGACACAAACATAAGGATGGTCCTGCTCTTCCCTTTGTTGTCACAGTCCAATGCACAAGCCAACCTGTAAAGGAATACTATGATTCTGATGTCTAATCCCCAACTCCTGCTATAGGTTATCTAGAGATACAAGATCTTGCAAAGTACTCTTTTGGATGTTGGCTTTGAGACCTAACTTAAGGGGGTCAAGAAACCTGGAGTTCACACTAGGCTGTGCTTTCCAGCTTTATTTAGTCTTTTAAGTCTATGGGCTGGCCTTATCCTGCTTCTGGCTTCTACTATTTTAAAATGTCATACCAGGACATCAAAGCAGTTGTATCTTTTCGGGAACCCCAAACAGACTGGATTTGGGGAACTTTAGGCCTCAGCAGGCTGAGAAGACTGGGACCAGGGTGGCTAGGTTGGTGTCATCAATGTCTACTTTCTGCCAAACAAGCCAAAGCACTCACCTCCTTCTCCCCAGTCAAGTCCATCCTCCCTTCCCAGGGCACATACTCCATTCATCACTGTGCTTCTCCATGGCTTTGCTCATGTTCTCTCTCACCCAAAATATCATACTTTTCCACCCACTTCACCAAACAAAGCCTATTCAAATAATTTTTATTTCATGATATACAATTTAAGTAATTGCTTTTATTATTGGCTAGTCTGTATATGTGCGCATATTATGTGTATGGTATAGATATTGTGTGTGTATAATCTGTAATTTGCTCCAAGTGATTTGTTTTGTTTTGCCAGTGAGACAGCTTGCTTCAGCGTAACCCAGCACTTCTGTTCCTTCTATTGTCATAGACATATTGCTAAACATCTAGTAGGCTCAGAATTAAAAATCCAGGTATGACCCTGTCTAGAACTTGTAATGCTAATTACTATTGCCTTTACTTCTCCTTCACATCTCCTAGGTACCAGTCAAGGACTTTCTTTTCTCCCTACAGTTAAGAACTATGAAATTTGGGAGTCTTTTAAATAGACCCACTGAAGGGAGTACCCCAATTGCCTCACCCCGTGTTCCTGTTCAGCATGGAAGAAGCCAGAGTGGTCTGTGTCCCGATTCCCTATTAGCAATTTGGGTAACTTCTTCAGAGGATGGTGTGATAAGAATAGGAGGTAGGAATTGGCTAGGTAGTTAGGGTAAAAAGACCCCAAAGAAAAGTAGCCAGTTTCTTGGCTAAAAGTCAAAATGTCCTTGGGCTTCTTAGCAACATACTCTGTCCCAAAGACCAAAAATGTCAAAAGTATTGGGGAGCTCTTATCTAATCCCTAAAAGATTTGAGGGTTACCTCTTCAGAGGGGGGAATGTTAGAGTAGCAAAAAGCCCCATAAATTTAACTGGTCAAAACTATAAAATCCCTAGTCTATCTGTTGGAGGACCCACCTTTCCAGTCTCACTGGTCAATCACCTGGTGATAGAACCACCCCTAGGAAGACAGGTTCACCTTAAGTTATGCTAAATATATGGGGGGGGATACTTAGTGTGTTAATGAGGTAGCAAATTTTTCCTGCCTGGAATCCCACCTTGTAAGGCAGAGCTCTGCAGACTCTCACCAGCCACAGTCATGTAGGTCTCTGTAAGTTACTGCCATTTGGGTCCATTCTTCAATTCTTTTATGAAAGAGACTAAGAACCCTCTAGGGCCCCCCCCCCCCCCCCACGTTTCAGGATAGGCCAAAACAATGGACATTTGGTGCTTTACTTTAAATAAGAGACAAAATGACTACAGAAACAGTAGGTGAAGTTGCTTTGTAGACAATGATAGACTGGCACCATCCTTTCAAATATCCTGGAAAAAAATTCATTTCGTACCCTTTGTATGTTCAGAATGTGGCATCATCAGAAACCCTCAAAAAAAAAAAAATTCAGGTTGAGTACTGGGAATGGAGGCACATGCCTTAAATCGCAGTACTTGGAAGGCAAACCTCTGTGAGACGGAGGCCAGCCTGGTCTACATAGGAAGGCAAACCTTTGTGAGATGGAGGCCAGCCTGGTCTACATAGGAAGGCAAACCTCTCTGAGGTGGAGGCCAGCCTGGTCTACATAGGGAGTTCTAGGACAGCTGGAACTACAGGGAGACCCTGTCTCAAAAAACAAATATACAAACAAAAAGTTCCTGGTGTGCCTGTCTGTGTGCTAGCTGCTCAGTGGGCCACCAATCCAACTGGTTACCTGGTAGAGGACGTGCTGGGTAGAGACCTCCTCATTGCCCCTGGACTCATGCTGTAGTATGAAGAACTTTCCAAGTCAGAGAGAGAAAAGTTGGGGCCGGTTCCTGCAGCTATCGGTGCTGGAAATAAACAAAAACGAGTTAAGTTCTGTGAGTAGATCAAGGAGAGCTTATTTCAGTGGGCATTTAGCACATTTTCTTTTTACATTTATCTGGGAAGCTTATCCAAAATAATCAGTAATGAACTGTGACTTCAAAGGAATGTTGACAATAAAAATAGTCCACATCAGAGAGGTATATTCTTTCCAATGTACCTTTCATCTTTTCTCTATTTATAATAGTAAACTGTCACCAAGGTTACAGAATTCCTGGGTACTTTAAACAAAAATACCTCTCATGTCTTAGACTTGAACTTTTCTTGAATGATTGGCTCAAATTTTCCCTAGTCTTTCTCACTTTGATCCCAATGGCTTCTCTTCAGCTGTACTTTGGAATTCTGACCTGAATTTTGATGAAAGCCACTCTGTCTGCCTAGGCTACCTACTTCCTGCAAAGTGAAATGTGTACTTCCCTTTGCTCCGTGAATGAACTCCCTGCATCGCACAAACTCCCTGCACACATCTTTACCTCCAGGTCTGGCCCACCTTGTAAGTTACATTTTTATAAAGAAAGCTTCAGTGGACAACTGGCACACACCTTCATTGCATATTGTGTGACTGCTGGGCCAAAACAGCATCAGAGAGCTGAGGCTGCAAGACGGACTGTGTTGCCCATGGAGCAGGAAGTATTTATTATCCCGTCATTTACAGAAGAATCTGCCAACCTCTGATTCAATTTTGAGAATATATTATCTTCAGAGATGATCCTTCCTAGGATGTGATTACGTGTATTTTTATTTCAAGCCTCTATAAGCATTCTGTACAGTAGCTTAATAAATATTTTTGAATGAATAAAATCTACCAATCTCTTTTAAAAATATTTTATTACTTTATTTTATGTGTATGAGTGTATTGCCTGCATCTATGTAAGTATACCCATGTTGTGCAATGCCCACTGAGGTCAGAAGAGAGTGTTGGATTACCCTGGAACTGGAGTTATAGATGGTTGTTAGCTGTCATGTGGGTGCTGTGAATCGAACCCAGGTCCGCTGCAAGGGTAGTCATTGGTCTTACCTGCTGAACCACCTCGCCAGAAACCCCCTTTTTAAGACAGGGTCTCACTGTATCCCCTACTGGCCTAGAACTGGTTATGTAGACCAGGTTGTCCTCCTTCTTACAGAGATCTATCTGCTCTACCTAGTGCTGGCATTAAAGGTGTGTAACCACGCCGGCTACCAATCTTCTTTCAAAACTATAAAACCTGTGGCAAGACTCTATTAGTTCAAGTACTCTTTCTGAAATCCAGTATTCAATAAAAAATACTATGAAAAAGCAGGACAGTAGACACCTATACTAATGCATATTATACATGTATATAAATAAATTAAATTCTCCTGATAGATAAAAATAAATTAAATTCAAGTTAATATCTATCAGGAGAATTAGGAACACCATAGCCAGAAATTTCATTCAAGAAATGATTATTAAGTGCCACTATTACCAAGAATTGGGCTGAGAGAGGAAGACAAGAACACAATACAGGGGAACCTGGCAGCTTAAGGTAAAGACAGTTGAGAAATCCTCAGATAGTCATTCTGAAACTGGTACCAGAAGTGGGTGTCTAACCTACCTTGGGAAGAAGAGGCTCAAGGGAGTAAACGGGGCTGAGAAAATGTGATGTCTGCAAAAGATACTGAAAGGACAGGGCAACTGAGAGAGAGGGAGGGTTTCTGGATTGAGGAAACAACTTAAGGTAGGAGAACAGAAAATGCTGCCTGGGTTTCTGACAGCTTCATATAGGGCCTAGGACACAGGGTGGAAAAGATGTGGCTATGGTTATGTCCCAAAGGATCCAGTGGATTTCTGTAAAGGAGTACAGATCTGAATCCCAACCATCACATGCTTGTAAGCCAGGATGCACTTAGCAACCTTGTGAGTGAAAATTGTTGTAGTTAGAATGCCAGCTTCTAAGCATTATTCCTGATAGCAGGAGGCAATCAGTAAGCACTGAACATATGCAGCTAGTGGCCACACTTAGTTTTATTCACTAGTCAAAGGTGAGCTAGCAGCCTATGAGAATGCCACCATCAATTGTGTGTTTACAATCTAGAAATAGCTCTTAGTCGCAAAGCTGGAGAATAGAACTGGTAAAACCAGAGAGAGGCCCATGGGGTCATTTAAGAAGGGTAAGATGAGATAGGGTGACACGCAAAGTATGGGAAGGAGAAGCCAGAAGTTAGAGGCAAGCTAGAGGAGTCAGAGGTAAGAAAATATGCTGGCAGTTCACTGTGGCAGTATCAGAATGACTCTCAGGACTATTGCTTGGGAAACAGGATGAGTTACTATGGAATCAGAAGGTATGGAGGACCACAACAATGTGTAAGAATATATACACTGAGTCGTTTGACCGGAAGCAATGACTAAATCTCATGCAAAAACAATCTTTACTAAGAAATAGAAAACTGACATTCAAATGCATGTCTCCAAGACTGGCTCCAATGGAAGGAGAGCCTTTAGTGCAAAGTCTTGACAATAATGTAAACAGATTTCCTCTTAATAATGTTGCTTCATCATTCTATAATTTGCCTTTATATTCAATTCATTTGTATAATGAATTGTTTTGTTTCATATTTTGCATGCGAAATGGGCCATTGTGTAACCTGGTCCAGGGCACTTATCATCACCTCAGCAGCCCGACAGTTGAGAACATGACAGGTTCTTACTAATGCCTTGTGCCTCCTGGAGCCCATGGTCATGTCCACGTCTCTTGGTAACTAGAGAACGTGAAAAGGCCTGTCAGCGTCAAAAGTATGAATTTAGATTTTCTTCACAAATTTCAGAGTGGGGTTGAGGCCTCAGCTTGGTGGAGAAGCTTCCTCTTTCTGAGGAAAAGGCAGGATCCCTCCCCAGCTATTGGAAGGAGAGTGGGAGGCCTGGCCTGGACTGAGGGGAGAACTCCAAAGCTTTCAACAGAGTGGCAGACACCAGCACTTCCACTGAACATTGTATCTTTTGTGTGATCTATCCTAGAAAATGTCTTTTCCCTCCATCATTCTTTTAAAACTATCAGAGGAAGCAGAATAAGTGAAGGATGAAATATGCACATGCAAATATAAATATGGTATACTATGTCGAGACACATAAAAAACAAGTTAGTCCACGCAAGTGCGCTTAACCTGCCCCCGTATTGACCTCTCGAGGCACGTGCAGAGCACAGTACTGGGGGATGCCGTGAAGGCACCAGGTGGCACAGCCCAGAGTGTTCATGGGATGTCTGGTGAGTGACTTCAGAGCTTGGCAAACTGGTGTGTCTCAAATTTCAAAATATCACTAAATCTGAAATGAGAATGAGTTTCTCAACCTGGATTAAATAACACCAATAAGGAAGAGACCCAAGCTGTGCCTTCTGCAGGAGGTCCTAGCAAGCACGCACTCCTGCCACTGTCTGTATGTGCATGGCAGCCGTATCGCAGTCACCTTGCTGAGGATGGATTCTGACTCCATATTGTGGGGTGGCATTCTCACAGTCTCCCATCTGGAAAACAGGCAGAGCCTTTGGCAAACAATGAAGACAGAACCGCAGAAGGGAACTGCGGACAGGCTTCTGGGAGACCCTGGGAAGCCATGTACCTGGGAAGCACTTTATTTACTAATACCTAGTTGAATCTTTAAAATAACCTTCTCAGGAAAAGTACAGTTTCTAGATGAGGAGGACCACACTTTGGATCGAGATGCCAAAATTGACATTAATTACAAAAAGACAAAAGAGAGGGAAAATTAATGTAAAATACTGCACCACACCGACTCATGCAAAGAATGGGCCTTGAACATGAGATAGTAAACAGGCACATTACATCTCAGTCCTCAGAAGGTTTTTGGCCTAAGTGGAACCTATCTAATTCAGCAGTACTGACTGTACTGAATCTTACAGGAAAAATGAAAACAATGTATTGGGAAAGTTGAGAGGAGACACAGGTCATACTGGCTCGTAAGATCAGAAGCAGGTTGAGCAGAAGAGTGGGCACCTAGGCCATACTCTGGAGAACGTACCGATTTAAAGGGGCAGAGGAGGAGATAGGAGGGGCCTGGGAGGCAAAGCAAAAAGCCTGCACCTATGTTTGAGGTAGAAAGTGGAGGGAGTGAGCTGGGAGAGCCTGACAATTTCTGAGTAGGGCAGTGAAAAGGTATAGGAATTGATTTAGGAATGCTGATATGTAATAGCATCTTGAATGCACACAAGAAGGCTAGGCTCTGAAGGTGGGAAAGATTGACACAGGACTCCTAGAGAGAAAGAATGGAGACTAGACTAGACTATGTTGTCAAGAAAGAAAACAGTGTGTACAACAGATACCTGACAAAGCTTCTAGAATAGCAAGTTTAATATCTCGGAGACTGTTCTCATAAATAAGTAAATGATCATATTCTTCTAAGGGATATAAAGCATCAAGAGGATGCATATAACATAGTATGCTTCCACCTAATAAAGGTATTAAGTCCTTTTTGGCTAATTATGGAGATAATAAAATTTGTCAAGGGTTGCATGACTTGTTCAATGTCTCTTAATTTCTGACTTGTTCAGGATTTTATGTTAGGCTTCTAAGGCTTCTCAGGTAATTGCGGGGATTATAGAGCCACTGCCAATCAAGTGCAGACACATGATGAAAGGGCTGGACCAACTCCTGTTCTTCCTTTCTGTTCCATATATTGTCAAAGTTTATTTTGCTTCATTTGTACTTAATTGTAGACATATTAGTGCTTAACTGTGTGACATGTAACATTTTCTCCCCATATAGACTGATTTACACTTTAAGGCTATAAACAGACATCACAGGAGATAAAATGAAATACTGTTCTAGGACTAGGAGAGCTCCAGTAACCCCCTCTGTAAATTGGTTAAGTCACTGATATTCTTTGGGTTTCATAATTCTAATAATAATTATGATAAACATTGTAAACCCTGCCCCCCATGGCTACCAGGATCACCATCACAATTCATTAGGCATCTTTCCTGGACAGATGTTG